TCCCTCTCCCCATCCCTCCCTCCCTCGTCCAAAGCGCTCTTCTCAAAGTTTCAGCCCTTTTCTCCCTCGTCTCGGCTCCTCTCTGGCCCGGCCAGGCTGCAAGCTCCGGTTTATTCCGCAGAAACCTGCCCAAGAGCATCTAAAGCACTGGGCCAGTTCTTCTTGGGGGTAGAGAGCGGGGTTTAGTGTCTAGACTTTGGCGTCTAGACAGCAGTGGTTTAGGACCTGGGACTTGGGTTCGAATCCTCGCCTGAACATCGAAACTCACTGAAAGTGGCAAACCACACCTTGAGCATCTCACATACTTTGAAAGGCTTGTTACTAAGGGAAGGGTGAACCACCTCTGAGGATACCGTATGGCAACCCTTTCCAGGGTTTTCTAGGTAGAGAGTACTCAGAGGCAGTTCACCCTTCCTTCCTTCTGGGGACACCCAGAACTGGGGACTGTGCAGGGCTGCCCAAGGATACACAGGCTGGCTCTTCTCCTGGCAGGTATACCCAATCTCTGGCTCCACAACCGCTTAACTGGATCCACCGAGTTCTCCAGCCAGCGGATGGCACAGAACTGGCACGGTTTTAGTAAGCACAGGTTTTGTTTTGAAACGACAGCTCTGACAAAGTCGGTCGCAGCCCACAAAACCCATGCCCAGTAAAACGACTTAGTCCGTAAGGTGCCATAAGACCCTTTTGGTTCTTGTTTAAAACAAACACACCCTCTGGATATTTTCATGAAGCTGGTCATACTTTTACCAGTAGGCGGAAGCCTTTGCAGAGTGCTGTGTTTGAATGATGACTTACGATGACCCTTTACAGCATTTTCTAGGTAAAAAACTACTCAAAGGTGGGTTACCCTTCCCTTCTTGTATGGACAACCTTTGGACCGGGCAGCTGGCCCAAGGTCACCAAGGCTGGCTTGAACTCCCAACCTCTGGTTCCTCAGGCGGATACTTAACCTATTGAGCTATCCAGCCAGCTGTGTTCTACCACACACAGGTTCTTCTTGGAACCTACACGACAGAGCTGTGGACCGACATCTTCTGCCCCATTGCTTTCCTCCACCTTTGAGGATGATGGCTGCGTTTTCTGAGGTGGTTTGCCTGAGCCACTTAGTGAGCTGTTGGGAATGGGAGATGGGGGACTACAGCCATTATGTAAATATATACAGTGGTGCCTCGCATTACGATTGCTTCGTTTAATGACGAAATCGCATTACGATGAACTTTTTGCAATCGCTTTTGCGCTTGCAAAACAATGTTTCCTATGGGGGAATTTCGCTTTTCGATGATCAGTTCCCTGCTTTGGGAACCAATTCTTTGCAAAACGATGATTTTCCAACAGCTGATTGGCAGTTTCCAAATGGCCGCTGGGTAAATAATGGTATGTTTAAGACAGCAGGAAGATTTGGAGATTCCTTTGTGTCACCAGGACTCAGCGCTTATTTTGCATAGGCTGTCCTGCCTGATTATATCAATATTTTGTTAAAAAAAAAACTAGATGAAAAAGCAGTATTTTTTTAAAATTAAAACTGTGAGCAAATTTTGACATTTGAAAGATTCTTTGCCGGTGTTTATTTTTATCCATGTTTATTTCAATCCAAATGTTAGTCTGCGTATATTTTGATCCATGTTAACATTCACACTTTTCCTTTTTTGTCTGGTCGTGTACAAATATTTTAAAGATATGTAAAAAGTGAGAAAATGTAACAGTATTTTAAAATAATGGGTAAAATGAGCTCTGCCTGGAAAGATCATAATGAAGTTGTGCTGGGTTTATAGACTCGTGATGATTTGAGGTTTGCTCATGCAGTATGTTGATGCGCATGACAAAATCAAGTTCTCTCAGATCTTGGAAAAGTTCCTTTTCTGGACTACGATTCCCAGAAGAGCTTAAGACAGTTCACACATGGTTGAACATCATTTGATTTCCATCCATGCTCAATTACCAGTCATTTAATGAGTTCATTAACTAGTTCCAGTGGTTTTTTTTAAAGGATAGCTCAGAGGATAGCATATATGCTTTAGATGTGAAAAGTCCCATTTTCAATTCCAGACATCTCCAGGCATGGCTAGGAGAGAAAACTCCTGGATGAAATCCAAGCAAGCTGCATCCATTTGGCATGAATAAAAGCTTGAGGCAGATGGATCAATAGTGAGCCTGGACAAAAGGAAGATTCTTATTCATGTCCTGGGCAGGATGATACCTGCCTGTGAGCACTGCATCTCTGTCAGCCTATTTGCATATTCATTGTCAAAATCACGGGTGGGAGTATGAACTCAAGACTCAGTGAGAAACAGCATAGAGCATCAGAGGCATGCCCTACACCAAACCTGGGCAAAGTGTGGCCCAAGGGCCACATACGGCCCGCAAGCCTCTCCTGTCCGGCCCACCGGTCGTCACTCCAGTCCAGTGTTCAAGCACTTGTTCAAGCCCAAGACGGACTGAATTTGTCTCACTGAACAAGTTGAACATCAAAACCATTTATAACTTTTTGTCTAAAGTTGATGAGTTACTTATCTTTAACATACCGCAAAAAACCTCTTTAGTATTTGTGAAGATTAACAAGTTTAAAATAAAAACAATCGTAACATCACTGTTTCATTTTATTTTTAAGGAAAGTTGGTTCGGCCCCCAAACACAGTTCAGATTTTTCATGTGGCCCCCTATAGAAATTAATTGCTCACTCCTGCCCTACACGCTGCTGGTGACTCCAATTCCAGGGGTGGTGAATCCACTCCAGCTTTTACTCTGCATTTTACAGGAGTTAAATCTATGTAAGGGACAGAGTTCAGGACCTTGGATAGCTCCTGCAAGGTGTAGACTAAACCCTTGGCTGGATTCACGACCGACAGAACTGAAATCACCAGCCACCACTGTCTATAGGTGTTCCTCTAGCTTCCAGAGGGTTTTGGAAGCTCTTCTCAGGGTATGTTAGCTGATATTAAAAAAGAGTCAGGTTTTGGGATTTTCCCCTGGTTGGTGTTTGTGAATGGTACTGAATCCAAGAGGGGATCCTGTAGACCATCTTGACTGCTGACATGGGTGTCATCAACATTCCAGCTGGCCTTCGCTATGTAAATCTTTGTGACCTCCCCCCCCCCCCGGGCTGGAAAACTAGGCATAATATTGTTAGGAAATGTCAGACCATTTTCTTACGTTTAGAATCAGGAATACTGAAGCAATATCCACATTCATTAATCATAAGGTTTTTAATACCAGTCTTAGAATTTCAGAGCTGGAATTCTATGGATAATCAAGTTCAGTCCTTATTCAGGAAGCATTGTGGGGAATTGAACTCCCAATCTGAAGGTTATACTGTACTAGATCAAGCCGCTTTGACCCTCTACTAGAAACCCGACAATGGTGGGGCCTTTGTGAGTTTTCTTGGGAGAGATATCCACAAAAGTGAGGCTGCAACAGAGGTTTTGTCTCATACACACACCAGCATTACCTCTCCAAGAACTCAGATTGTGGGCATTGTGATTTTATCTTGCTTGAGTTTAGTGTAATGCTAGAAGTATGGCTGCTCACCATTACAGTCCCCTGGTTTGCTCATCTGCAAGAAGAGTCCTGAAATATAGGCACCTGCATCTATCTATTTCAACAAATGAGTTCCAGCAATTATTGCTCCCACCAAGAGCAGGTCTTTTGTAAAGCCAAGGTCTCCTAAGTGCCCTTTTAAGACCAAACCAACCTCAAACCTTTGACAAGGATAATTTGCCACAAGATACTGCTCCTGGTAAAATCCATTTCTCTTCCAGCTACTCGGACAGCTGCCATGATACCCAAAGGGAACTGGGAAACCTGGGGTGGGGGTGGAAGATCATATCATAGTCCCTTCCCCTGAGCGGATCCTAGAATCAGAAAATGGACTCTTCCAACCCTGATTCCACTACCTCACTGTTTATTCCTGTTACTGCAAATTTATCCTCTGTTTTATTCATGGCAAGCTGGTTGGGGACGATGGGAGCTAGGGAGCTTGTCCCCCAGTGTTGCTGAATTCCCCATCTATGTTCCCTCATTGCTTGCTTTCAGAGAATACTATAATCGTCAGATACGACATTTAGCGATCAGCAGCCTGCTGTTCTGCGTGGCCCATTGTGACAGCCACACACAGACTAGCGACAAGAGAGCGAAACAAAAGAGGGAGCTGGCTCACAATGGCATGCTTTAATAAAACTGCCCAAAGCACTTGAGTGAAAACTTTCCACCGGGGCTCCAAAGAGCCAATTTACTTAATATTTCCAAGACAATGCCTCTCCAGGAAAGACATCTTGCCATTTAAAAAGGAAAGGTTTACTTTCTCGCCCCCCCCCAGCATAGTTTGAGACTTGCCTTCCCTCTCCCCTTCTCTACCCCTCCCTCCATCAACCTTTTTTTGCCCTCTCAGTACTGCAGGCGGACCACCAGACCCTTGGTCGGCCAAGAGGAGAGGCTTTTGTAGTGATAAATGCCCTGTCTGTTTTTTTTCCCCCATACGTTGAAGGAAGAAAGAAGGTCAGGCCAGGGAAGAGGAGAAGTAAAGGGGAAGAGTTCCAGCCAGCT